AAAAAAAAAAAAAAAAAACAAAACGAAAAAAAAACCTGTGCAGGGGCATACAGGCCATGTGTTCAAAACTCTATGATTCAGAGACAAAAATAAAAATAAACTGGATCACATCAAAATTTAAAACTTCTGTGCATCAAAGGATGCAATCAACAGAGTGAAAAGACAAATCACAGAAGAAATACCTGCAAATCATGTATCTGATATATCCAGAAAATATACAACTACAACTCAACAACAAAAAATACCCCAATTAAAATAAAAGACATGGGGCTGGACACTGTGGCTTATGCCTATAACCCCAGAACTTTGGGAGGCTGAGACGGGAGGACTGCTTAAGACAAGGAGTTTAAGACCAGATGAAAACACAGTGAAATCCTGTCCCAATAAAATGAAAAAGAAAATAAAATTAGCTGGGAATCATGCTGTGCACCTATAGTACCAGCAGGCTGCGGCAGGAGGACTGCTTGAGTCTAGAAAGTTGAGGCTGTGGCGAGTCAGGATTGCACCACTGTACTCCAGACTGGGTGACACAGAGACCCGGCCTCTTTAAAAAAAAAGAATATATTTAAAAAACTCTTAAAAAAAAAAAAATAAAAAAACAACCCAATTAAAAAAAAAAAAAAAAAAAAAAAAAGACATTTCTCCAAAGAAAATATATAAATGGCCAAGAAGCACATGAAAAGGTGCTAAACATTACTAGTCATCAGAGAAACACAAACCAAAAACCACAGTAACATACACCTCACACTCATTAGGGGGTCTCTCATTGTCAAAACAAAACAAAAAATAATAGGTGTTGGTGAGGGTACGGAGATTAATAATAAGTGCTGGTGATGATGTGGAGAAACTGAAACCCTTGTGCCCTGTTGGTAGTAATGTGAAATGGTGCAGCCACTACAGTAAACAGTAAGGTGGGTTCCTCACAAACTTGAAAATAGAAATATCCTTTGATCCAGCGATTCTACTTCTGGGTATATATTCAAAAGAACTGAAAGCAGGGTCTTGAAGAGAGATTTATACATCCATTTTCATAACAGCATTATTCAGAATAGCCAGAAGGTATAAGCAACCCGTATGTCCATCCACAGATGAATGGATAAACAAAACATAGTATATACATACGCTGGACTATCATTCAGTCTTAAAAGAAGAAATCCTAGGCCAGGCTCAGTGGCTCATGTCTGTAATCCCAGCACTTTGGGAGAAAAAAAAAAAAAAAACAGAGAGAGACCTGGCTTTACCATTGGCCATTGGCTGTTTTGCTATATTTTTGATTCCTCATCTGTTAAGTAAGAAGAAAAAGGTCTCAAGAAGCTGTCAAAATGAATAAACTACAGTGTGCAATCTGAGTCCCTCAGAAGTGTCAAGCAAATGCAAATTATTACTGGTTAGCATCCCAAATCCAAACATCAAAAATCTGGAATACTCCAAAATCCAAAACTTTTTGAGCACCAACGTGATGCCCAAATGAAATGTGAAAAGAGCAGTGAGGAGTTTGGATTTTGATATCTGGGATGCTCAACCGGGGGAAGTTCAAGGCAAATATTTCAAAATTTAAAAAAATCCAAAATCCAAAACACTTCTGGTCCCAAGCATTTTAGATAAGAGATACTGAAACTGCACTGCTAGTTTCTATTCCTCCTTCCTCTCCCCATCTTACCTTTGAGAGATAAGCATCCATGTTCTCATGTGTAATAGATGGATCTGTGACAAATTCAAAGAGCTCCCGCACAGTCATGACAGCAACACTGTGCTTCATAAAGAAATCTGTCAGAAGGATAAACATTAACGATAGCTTTTTATTAGGAAAAAGGTTATTATTCCAACTACCTTTTAGAGAAACAAAGAGATAAAATTATACACCATCTCCCAGCAAATGGTTTAAGTGTCACTGCATCAAACAACTTAGTGAGAAAATTTTATGCCAACAGTTTAAATGAGTACAAAAACAACATAGACCAATAAGCTGTTTCGAAAATGCCCATTTCTACTCACCATTGACATTGGCACAGTCCTTTCTCAAGAACTCCAAGGCATGTGGGTGGTCGTGCTCCACCGACTGAGAAACATCAATGACATACACGCCTCCACCGTGGTACCTGTTGGCCAGAGACACAGAAGCTGTGGGATGCTACTACTTTACTATGTTTTTTGTTTAAAATAAATTCTACTCTTAAGAACAAGGGAAGTAATTCACAAAATGACCAAGGCAGATAAGATGAGGCCATCTTGACTAACAGATGAAAACCGGGGAAATTTCCAAAGTCCATTCACTGTTAATGATCTAAGCGGTCAATTCCATGACTAAGGTCACTGAAAAAAGGAATATTATCTTATACCATTTGGAAGCCAACAATAAAACTTCAGAAGGTAGTGTGACTTCTTGGATTGTGATTTTGTTTATCATTTTAAAGGACACAAAACAACTTACAGGCAGTTCCTAAGAGACAAAATACACTCACAGCATGTTAAATTCACTGAGATCTGCATGGACGAGTCTGGCATCCTGATACATTCTTCTCATATATTGAATGACCTGCAGGTACAATTCCCGAGCCTTGGATTCCGATAACTGGACATTTTTCAAGAGTGGTGCAGGCCTTGAATTAAAAGAAAATGAACTAAGATAAAATGACCAACAACAAGTTTTCTTGCTTCTTACAATACTGTTACATGCCCTTCTCTTCTACAACTCATCATGTGAGCTGTATATGTGACAATTTGTCTCAATGCAGATACACCAAGAAGGTACCAGCAAATAGATGCTTTCCCAACACACTGTATAAGACATCCCTCCAACACAGGACTAACTTGCTCCTCATTCTGAAGCATTTTCATACTTAAAAAGGTAGAATAAATTGATAACACTTATGCCCTAATACAGTGGGAAAGATTCATAAAAGAAGCTATTCAAATCGGAAATACTCATAGAGTGGATAAACTCAAAGCACTTAAAAATACATTTCTGAGAATGCAGTTATTAGGCCTTCCCTGTACTTACATGTCATCTTTACCAATGAAGCTCATGACAAGAACATGACTTCTTAACATTATTGGTTCTGGACATGGTATCTCTGCTGTGTTTAGCCTGTGATATTATAACAAATAAAAGGACAACTCAAAAATTGAAAACGCATCTAAATAAATTACAATGACTACAGGTCATAAGATTAACACTGCTGTTAAAAAACAGCACCAAGGCCTCTTAAGTTTATTATAATATTTCATAAACTCTAACATGATTTTAAATGGCACCATTATGTACCACTGAGAATGACAAAACACTAGCAATTAAGCTATTACATCCTATAACCTGTAATTCCCAAACCAATTCCAGAGATGTTAAACTGAAAAACATGTGCATCTTACAATGGAGGAAATAGAGGAGACATGTCCACAATTATCTTTTGAGTTGATTAGCCTGAAAAATAGCTGGACTCATAGCTAATAGCTTGCTGAACACAAAAGACTTTCGAAACAAGCAGTACCTGCTCAGTACTACACTATCCAATGCATCACCTGTGTACAGCATATAGAGTTATGACATTTTAAAAACTCCATAATTTTCAGAAACCTTAAATCTCAACTAGATGAGGCCTTTATCTGATAAAAAGGTGTCAGTGCAAACAAAGGATATATAAAAGTGTCCAAAACTGAACTAAGACAAGGAAACTATGGTAAACAAAGAGTTCACAACCTAACAAGATTTGCCTAGAACTCCAATACCTATGAAAATGTGACAAAGCATTATCACCATCTGATTGTGTCACTTTCCTGCTTAAAATCCTCTAACAGTTCCTTATTATGCTCAGTACAAATTCTTTTTTTTAAAATTATACTTTAAGTTCTGGGGTACATGTGCAGAATGTACAGGTTTGTTACATAGGTATACAGGTGCCGTAGTGGTTTGCTGGATCCATCCCCTCCCATCATCTACATTAGGTATTTCTCCTAATGCTATCCCTCCCTAGTCCCCCAATCCCTGCGATCCCTCCCCTAGCCCCCTCACCCCCCAACAGGCCCCAGTGTGTGATGTTCCTCTCCCTGTGTCCATGTGTTCTCATTGTTCAACACCCACTTATGAGTGAGAATATGCAGTGTTTGGTTTTCTGTTCTTGTGTCAGTTTGCTAAGAATGTTGTTAAGTACAGCTTCATCCATGTCCCTGCAAAGGACATAAACTCATCCATTTTTATGGCTGCATAGTATTCCATGGTGTATATGTGCCATAATTTCTTTATCCAGTCTATCACTGATAGGCATTTGCGTTGGTTCAAAGTCTTTGCTATTGTAAACAGTGCTGCAATAAATGTTTTCAATGGCTTACAAGGCCTTCCAAATGATCTAGCTTTGTGGAATAAATATAAATTGTGGCAGTAATCTTCTGTAATGGATGCTCAGAATAGAAAACAACAGAAAAACAATCTCTCTTTGTCCAGAAATGTGTTTCTTCTGCTTCCTTCAGTAGATCTAACAAAAATGAAGCCCTAATAAGTCCCTACATATGGGCAGAACCACACTGGGATCTGCTGGGAGGAAGGGCTGATGTTCATGGGCAGAGCACAGGACAGACATACACACGCCCGAGATAGTCACCTGATTAAGTTCCTCATTTCTTTTTCTGCCCAAGTTTTCACCATTTTCCTAGGGTTTCCTTTACAATAGCCATGACGAAATCTTGAATAAGAAAAATATTATTTAAATCATTCTGTTATTGTTTTAATGTTTTAGGAAATAGAAGTTAAACCAACTGGAGGGAAAAATCTGAACTTACCTGAATTCCCCACTTACATACTTATCCCGATCTTTGAACACCAAAATAGAAGTTTTATAAATTTTGATTGCTCTGCTCTCTCCATTTGCTGTGCTAGCATGGTAAACATTAGCCTATTTTAAGTCAAAAACCAAGAAAATGAAGTTTATGTTAAATAACTACTGTTACTTTTTCTATCAATTTGATTCTAACCTCAAAAGTCAAGTGAACTAAAGTAACATGAATAAGAAATACCACTGCCTTTTGAAGATGTGAATTAAAATATGAAATATTATATCAAAAGGACAGTAAATATACCTCCAATATACAAATATAGTCATGTGCCATATAACATTTTAGTCAGTGGCAGGTAACAGACTGCATATATGAGGTGATCCCATAAGATTATAACAGGCATTTTTACTGTAACTTTTCTATGTTTAGATAAATATTTACCATTGTGTTACAACTGCCACAGTATTCAGTACAGAAACCTGCTGTACAGATTTGTAACCTAGGAGCAATAGGCAATACCATATAGCCTAGGAGTACAGTAGGCTATACTATCTAGGTTTGTTTAAGTACACTCTACAATGTCTGCATAATGACAAATTTGCCTGATGATGTATTTCTCAGAAAGTATTCATTAAGCAATGCAAGACTGTACAGTAAAATCCTATTTAAATACATGGGAGAAGTGGTTTCAAACTTTTTTTACATCTTAAGTATATGCAAAATAATTAAAGACATTCTTAAATCCGGTGATTTAGGCCAGGTGTAGTGATTCATCCCTGTAATTCCAGCACTTTGGGAGGCCCAGGTGGGTGAATCACTTTAGGCCAAAAGTTTGAGACCAGCCTGGCTAACATGGCAAAACCTTGCCTCTACTAAAAATACAAAAATTAGCTGGGTGTGGTGGTGCAGGCCTGTAGTCCCAGCTAGTCAGGAGGCTGAGGCAGAATTGCTTGTACTCGAGAGGCAGAGGTTGCAGTGAGCTGAGAACATACCACTATACTCTAGCCTGGGAAACTGTCTCAAAAAAAAGGAAAAAAAAAAAGACTCTGTCAAGACTCTGTTCAAAAAAAAAAAATTTTTTTTTTAAATCCAGTGATTTATAAATTGAATTTTACTGAGAATTGCTTCCAGCAGAATGGGTTTTACACTTGTAAAGAATTGCTTTAAAAAAAAAAGTCAGTAAAAACTATATGTGAGCTACAACACTCACACATATTTATTAGTTGGCCCTTTCAAGGGTCTGCAGACCCCTGCCATTATAGATGAGATAAGTAAATCATGGTAAGAGTTTCCTTCAAGCCAGAGAGGTCGATTTTGAGTCAAAAGGATTTCAAAGTCTTCTCTAACAAACAGAAAGCAGTATATCCATATGTAAAGAAAAAAATAAGAAAGATTTGCTGACTCATAGAAACATAACCATAAACCTCTGTCCCCATGAGTAATTTATTTTATTAGAACTCAGGCCTATAATAATCTGAGCATCTCAACTTACTACTGGGGATAACTAGTTAGACTCAATGATACAATGCAGCAGCAGTAGTGAAAAGGCTTAGTTATATGTACGACTTCCTCTCTAACCATAAATATTAATGTGTGGAGCTTTGTTTTTCTTTCTTTTTAAAGGCATAATGTAGTACTAAGTGCCATAGTTTCATTTGGTATCTGAAATAAGAAAACTAAATATTCAATCATCCAAAGAAGAGCTCACTTCTTTTCCTGTGCTAATGCAGCCATTTATCTCTGTTATGATTCCTCTAGTCAACATCTTGAACAAAATCATTCTTGTTCTGGGATCCAACACCTAAAAAGAAATGCAAAAATTGAAAAGTTCTGAAAGACAGTACCAAATCTTTCTCATTAAAACCTATGATAATGAATAAACAGCAGAGCTTAACTGTACTACGCTATCCTGGTTGACCAAATGAGAGTCACTATTTACAACTTTTATTCACTCTAATTGTTAATCAGTAAAATGTCAGGTAAAGGCCATAGGAACCAAAGGCAACCAAATAGCAAGTTCATCCAGTCATGGAAATCAAAGATTACCAAGCCCAAGGGAAGCAGAAATGAACCCTAGGCTATTAGCTAGTAAAAATATAATGCAAACTACATAAATAGTATTACATGTTCTAGTCACTACACTGAAAGTAAAAAGAATCAGGTGAAATTATTTTAATATTTTTTTAACCCAAAATATCTAAAACACTATCATTTCAACCTGTATCAATATAAAAAAATCATTAGTGAGATAATCCTTGTTTTTGACACCAAGTCTCCAAACTCTGGTTCGTCTTTTGCATTTATAGCATATCTCAAGTGCCCAGTGGTTACTGCCATGGACAGGCAACTTTATATTGGGGATCAGCACTCTCTGGCCCATGGACCAAATCAGGCCACAGCTTGTTTTTCCTTACCCTGCAAGCTAAGAATTGCTTTGGAAAAAAAAAAAAATCAACAGAAACTACATGTGAGCCACAACGCTCATATATATTTACTAGTTGGCCCTTTCAAGAGTCTGCAGACCCCTGCCATTACAGATGAGTAAATCATGGTAAGAGTCTCCTTCAAGCCGGAGTAGTCAATCTTGAGTAAAAACGATTTCAAAATCTTCTCTAACAAACAGAAGGCAGTGAATTTAAAGGCTGTTCTTTTTCATCTTAGAAACTAAAGCAGCCAAATATTTGTATGCAATTTCTAAGGATACCAATCAGTAGCTCCTTATGGCTCAGGTAGGCCCTCTAGCCCCATGGGGCGAGACAGTATAAACTAGCCAAACTCAACTATGCTTTACAGTCCACCTTCAATGAAATGGCTGGGGTCACACCAGAAACCTAAGGTTAATATAAACAAAACCACCTGGGCAGACTATAGGACTAAAAGCCAAACCACAACCATTGCAACTAGAGAAGAATGAAAAAGCACTAATTTCCATTCCTTCTCTACTGCACAGGTAAGCAAAGAGGGGAAGTCAGCTGGCTGAGCCTCTAGGTACAGAACTGTGCGTCTGCAAAGTTGGCAGTCACACAAGTAAGGGCATAGGAAGAAATGACATAAGAACAAAACAGGGAAAAACAAATGATAAATTTATAGACAAGCATATATTTTATAGAGACACCTGAATACTCAAGCTATGTACTCTATCATTCAAAATTAATTTTGAAAGAAAAAAAGAATTTTCTGCCAAAAATAACCCTAAAGTTATTTAGGGTCTTTAAAACTTAAGGCTATCTCATCTTTCTGAGGTAAACCATACTTTGTTTTCAATTATGGAAATAAATCACAAAATAAGCTAGAGGACAATGAAGACACAGACCCCAGACCCTGCTTCTGTCTAATGGTGGAATTCAGAACATATGTTTGTGTATATGGGTGGGGGAGAGGAGTGGTAGGTGGCAGAGGCAATGTTCTGACTCTTTTTATCACTTTCTTCACATCAAAAATCTGGGCCAAGGCTAACATCCAATCACATTCTTTTGTATGCGGGAAAATTAGGGGCCAATTTTTTCCCATTCTTGAATAGAAAGAATAAAACGAGCATAATTTCTAAGCAAAGACAAGATTTCTAATTGGAAATTTGAAGACATTATCTGACCCTCTCTCTTTCACCCACCTTTCCCGCTTTGTGGCAGATAACCTACCTATCCTCTGGGAAAGCTCACAAAATTCCTATGGACCGTTCCTGAAAGACTGATGGTCTGATACTCTCTCCAAGAAGGGGAAAGCATCATATGGTGGCTCTGCAAGGCCACTGAAGAACCATGACTCTAATTCATCCAACAGTCCTATAAAAGCAAAATGTGCATCTCTAAACTCAAAACTATAAAAGGAGTAATTTTATATGGGAGTAATTTTAATATTAGCATTAAGCGAAAGGGATAAAAAGCAAACTACAATTCAAAGAGAAAAGAAATGCTAATTAAAAAGAAGAGTTTGCAACACATATAAATTGTACCTGTTCTACAGTTGCTCTGTCTGCCTTATCTTTGATGCGATACCTAATCAAAAACAATAATGTATAGTTGACACATTCAAAATTCAGTCAGAAGCCAAAATAAAAAGCTTCTAAATGTAGGTAATTTCATAAAAATTCCTAAGTCGTTTCTTTAAATAACAGATTTTATGACATGACTGTAGATTTTTCACTACTCAGTGAAACCTTCATTTCCCCTGAATATGCAAAATTCAATTCTGTATTTCAGCAAAAGGAGTATGTATGCAGTGAAAAGAAAAATCTAATCATATTTCAGAAGCATCAAAAAGCAGCCAGGGTAAAGTGAACTATGCTGGAAAAGAGAAAACATTGAGTATATGTGTACTGTCCTTTAAATCTTTAATGATTCTATTGGTACAGAATTAAAGTCTTGCCTTTTCGTTTTTTAAAGAGATCACATCTCACTATGTTGCCCAGGCCAGACATGGACTCCTGAGCTCAAGTATTGCTCCTGCCTTAGCCTCCACATAGAATTAGTCATTTACAAGTCTTTCTCTATAGAGTCATTTTCTAAGAAGACACAAGTTTTTTGTTTTTTAAAATCATTTCAAGACAGTCTTCAAATGCAGACTCTGATTTGTTTCCGCTTATACACTGACTGTAACTCCACCTAGCACGCTAACCTAAACTAATAAAGGTTTTAACACAAAGATTCAGACACCAATGAAATAACAAATGACTATGGTGTATCTCAAAAAGCTGATACTTCTTGGACATAGCAATAAATCAGAAGAAAGTCAGCTTTTAAGTTCACTTCTCACAGTGAGTTGTATGATCTTAGTGTCGTTTTCTATAATATAGTGATAATACTTTAGAGTTATTAGCATATAAGAGAAGTTAGCCAGCTCTTAAACAATTGGTTTTGAGAACAGAAGTGTAAACAGAAACAGTTCTTAGTTATATCATTATTTAGTTTACAGTCTTCCCTTAAATTTTTAAAAATACTTCATGAGAAAGAATAATTCTTAATACATTTTAAGGGAATATTTTTGCACATTTTAGTTTAAACTGAAATCCACAAACACTGTTCCCCTCATGAGAACACATTTGTAAATTTCATGAGATTATAGTTTTACTATGTGTTTTTTAAAATTCATTAATTTTTATTTTATTTATTTATTTTTGAGACAGAGTTTCACTCTGTCACACAGGCTAGAGTGCAGTGACACAATCTTGGCTCACTGCAACCTCTGCCTCCCAGGTTCAAGTGATCCTCATGCCTCAGCCTCCCAAGTAGCTGGCGTTACATGCATGCACCACCACATCTGGTTAATTTTTGTATTTTTTGTAGAGATAGGGTTTCACCATATTGGCCAGGCTGGTCTCAAACTCCTGGCCTCAAGTGGTCCACACACCTCAGCCTCTCCAAGTGCTGGGATTACAAGCATGAGCCACTACACCCAGCCAGGATTCATTAATATTTTTAATTTACAAAGGCACAGGCTATCCACTAAGAAAAAAAAAAAGAAACATATACACATACACACTGAAAGAATGATCGGTTTAAATATACAAATCAATAACCTCTGTAAAAGAATTATGATCGGCCGGGCGCGGTGGCTCACGCCTGTAATCCCAGCACTTTGGGAGGCCGAGGCGGGTGGATCACGAAGTCAAGAGATCGAGACCATCCTGGTC